ACGAATTCCACACTTATTTAATTACTTTGCAGACTAAATCACATAATTTAGTTATGTCTCCACAGTGCTAGCAAGCAACATGTTTTACAGAAAGTCTTGATTATTCTTTCTGATTGCTGTTTTGACGGAAAGACTTGTCAATGATTCTTTTGGGGGAAAAATTTCTCAGGTAAGCAGCAATGTATACAAGATCGGGTAGTACCGGGTATAACTTCAGAGGAATTGTTCCTCGAAGTAAGCGGTTGTCTTTAATATCAGCCATTGCATGTTCACTGTATATTCTTACAGCAGCAATAGCTTTAGTTAATATTTCTTCCTCCGCAGTAAGGCTGTTCCGAGATCCTAGGCTTGGTGGTTTTACATGATGGACTCCTATAGCTTGAAGTTCAGCGGTGATTTCAAAGCCTCTGTCTGTCATCACTAGATCACCTTTCTGTAGACGTTCCAGCAGTCCACTCCTAAGCACAGCTTCCTTTTCAGAGAGTCCACCTTCACAGCCAGGGCTGACAAAGACCGTTCCACCATTGCTGTCTACGCCAACGATGACTCTCATTGTATTACCAGCCTTATATTGGGAATAAGTATTTCCCTGCATTTGAAAATTACTCGGTGTTTCAATACGGAACTCTACTCCATCAAGAATTACTCTGAGGTTCTTGAATGGAAACATTTGAACACTCTTTGTCAATTTTTGCTGTGCTGCAGATGGAAAGCACTTAGTTTCCAGAGACTTAAGTGTGAGAAAAACAAGTCTGGTCATGGCATAACATATTTCTCCAGTCCACGATACACCAAGTCCAGCAATTAGTGATAATCCTTCTAATGGCAAGCCCCTTCTTAGACGGATAAGGAACATAAAGAGCCTGTCTTTAAAACCTATTTTCAAGTTTTCTTCCTTCTGTATCTTCTTTTTAAAGTCCTGATACTTATAGCTCAAACTTTCTATAACCATGCGGAATGAGGTTATGTGATGGTTTACGTTTGGCAACTTTCCGCTCCCTTCCCTTCGCTCCTCAAATCTCACATCCTCCTCCCTTCGTTTTCTTCGTGATTTCGTTTCTTACCCCGCTCGACTTACTTTTTTACGAATCCCACCTGAGTTTTATGTTTTGCCAACATAACAACATTCTATTCCGTGACTTACTTCTGTCATTTGTATTTGAATATTTATGCCAATACGTCATCTGCATAAATTAAGTTTACTTTTAAAATCATAATGAAAAGTTGTTTTATGGCTCACATGAGTTTTCTTTAGATTGAAAGCCATAAGGTAGCGCTTTGTCCATACTGGTCAGTTGCCTACCCTGCCGAATCCCAACTTGGTTCGGCCTGGTGCCCCTCGGAGTGAGTTGTAAAGGCTTCGCAGATTAAACTTAAGCTATAGCTATAGAGTAAGAGGGCTCAGCCAATGAAAAAATAGTGGTCCGTCGGCATTATTTTCCGTAAACGGCGAGTGACGTCGGGCGCACGTTTAGGCCCCCGTGTGTCGCGAGCTCGGATCCTTCATATCCGATACAAAATAGGACCCATAGGGTAACACTTTCTGCCCGAGTCGTTCGCCCTGGCCTCACCATGCGCCCTGGGCGGCGCCTACAAGATGGCGGGCCTGTTTGGCGCCAAGGTTGGGCCAAACCGAAAATCGCGATGCGATCCGGGTAAACGTTGTCGCACACTCCCCGGACTTTGCATACGGTCATTTATAGGTGAAATCTACCATTTAGGCTCCGTACCTCCGAAATCCACGGTTTCGACCCATGAAATGGGATGGGCTAGTGCAGGGGTGTCAGGTGCGGGGGTGACAAGTGCAGGGGTGTCAAGTCCAGGGTTGTCAAGTCCAGGGGTGTCAAGTCCAGGGGTGTCAAGTCCAGGGGTGTCAAGTCCAGCGGTGTCAGGTGCAGGAGTGTCAGGTCTGGGGGTGAAAGGTGCAAGGGTATTTGGTTGCTGGATGAGTGAAGGGGGTGGAATGGTGGCCCCGTAGGTTCTGGCGCATGACGGCCGCAGGCGCAGAGAGGCAGGTGAGGCAGAGGCAGGTGTTGCAGCTTTCCTTGCACGGCTTCTGGCAAGGATCACATCCCTGCGGGATTTATAGTGGAGCCTATTTGAGGTTTTCTTCCCGGTCCCTAGATGGTCCGCCCCACCCACTGCGTACTGGCTGACAAATCCTGAAAAGAAAAAATAATGCGTTTTCAAACCAGAAGGACGTGGGCTAAAAAAAATTCTGTTATGCGAAGGCGAACACTCGAACTAGTGTCGTGTGTCAAGGGAACGACACCGCACTGTGCGGGTTTGCCTACTCGTAGCCCACGTCTGGCGCTCTGGGGTGGCAAACCCGCAACACGGCGATGTTGTGCGGTGACAGCTTATTTCTCACAGCATCCAAAATGTCGGTGTGAATCCCCACTGTGTTGTTGGCTCCAGTCCTGCTCACAGTGGGGTTGTTCTGGAGGTCCAATGGGACGAGTGCGTCAAAAACCTTGGAGTACATGCGGGAAGGGTTTTGCACCGTGTCCTCAATAATTCTGGATTGTGTTGCACCGTTGAGAAACACTTCTTTTCCCTCAGTGACTTGAAGCTGGAATATTTTTTGTTG